ACAAACTCATGAGGTCAAAGTTCTTGTGCACTAGAGATTCCCAAAATGTCAACAAGCAAAAATAGGTTGCATATACTTGCGAAGAAATTCTTGTTGATACATATGCATTAATTGTGTTCTCAACGTCTGTTTATACTAATAATTTTATTAATCCAATACTTTGATATGTTATTGTTTTATGAATGAAATCAATTGCGGATGTTACTACTTGCAATTTCCCTTATGACATGGATATTTTGAGTAAGGGAAGGAGGTTACAGGGACAAGAAAGCTGCATATGTTTCCTTAAGTTATGGCCACACTATGAGTTTTATGTGACAATTATCTGTGATTTGGCCATATATGGACATGATCGCAGACATATATATATATAGAAACAATGATTCCATATCCTACCCATAATGGGCAAATCATATAATGCTTGGTAGTGATAACTGAACAGAGGTTAAGCCAACATATAGGCCTCTAATAACCAATAGATGTATATAGGTCTACTAGGTTAATCGTACAGTTATGTCGTAGCAAACCTATAGGCTAAACCAATTTTGTTTTTTTATTGTTCTTTATTAATTTCATAGTAAAACATAAATTATTGAAAACTGATTATTTAAATTTATGATTTTAATTTGAAAATATATGAATTCATTATTAATTAGCAAAATTTATTTTTGTAGACTTTTTTGGGTGGCAAATCTTTGCTGTAAAAGTAATTTTGAAATGAGGATATTGATATATTTTGTTTTTGTTTCATTTCCAGTAGGACATTTGACTTTCTGATGAAGAATACAGAAAAGTCCTTTTGCCTTGTTAAAAGTTCCAAGGTGGTACAATTAGATTAATATTGGCTAGACAAGTGATCATAAGTGAACCTATATATAATTCTAATGATTTTCATCACTGTCATCATCTGTTGTTGCTTAAAACCTCCCAAGGTCCGAGTCAAACAAAGGATAAAAGTTTTATTTTCATCTGTTTTGTGGCTGATTTTAATTATAATAGATTACTAATAGATTCTTCAGGCATAATTAAAACAGACTACTAATAGATTCCTCAGGCATAATTAAAATAGAATACTAATAGATTCATGTGAATTTATAAGATATGCAAGGGAATATTTCTAATTAAAATTGGCAAGCTAATAATTCATTTTTTTCTTACTGTCATCGTTAAAAAATGCAATCTGATACAGTATATTATTATCAGTGTTCTCCCCAGGCCCTTGAAGCATCATGGTACCATGATGCCTGGAACTTCCCCCATGATGCTTGACAGTTGGCCATGATGCTTGGAACATCTTCCCTGATGCTTTTATCAGTGAAAAGTTAAATTATTTAACTGTTCCCTGCTTTTATATTGTCTTAAAGTGCAATTTAGGGCATTTCAATGCCTCCTAATACCTTGTGTCAATCCCAACTATGGTTCACCCATAATGCTAGGGAGAACACTGATTATTATTGACATCTAGTTACAGGCTACTATTTTAATACACAATCAAGGACTATATTGTCATTAAATGATTAGATAATGAAACATATCCCTCAAGTTTGTCTGGGGTTGTTAATTGAATCATTCAAAAAGAATGTGACCATTCATTAGATAACTTATTGTCTGGTTTGAGATAAAAACACTCCGTTGGAAATTCAGATAAACTAATTATACCACTACTGTAGTTCTGTGGCTATTGACTGCCACCTTTGATTATGAAATTGGGCCATTTTTTGTTGGGGGGGGGAGGGGTGGGCTTATTTTTTCATGAAAAAAAAAATTCAACTTTATAGGTATAGCCAATCAAAATGAAATATTCAACACTTCATGCTTAATTCAAAGACAATATTTTATTTTTTCTGAAAGTATCTGTAATTACTCATTCAAATCATACCTTGGACTTTTGCCCAGAGAATGATGTTACTTATAGTACAGGACATGCTTATAAACTGTACTGGACGTGGGCTTATACCAAAAAAACTATGGCAGTTAACAAACCTCTTCCATCACATTTTCTTGAGCTACAGTAGGATTTTAGAAAGGTGCGAAGTTTGTTTATCTTTTCTATGAAATCATAGAATATTTGCAGGGACTCTATGAACTGAAGTGTCAAGTACGTGATAGCCAGACTCGCTTTTGAGATGAAACAAGATACATCAAACATACGCTTATCATTGTCTATGATACAAAACCGGTGGTGTACACAGCCATGTCAATTATTCTTCCTGATTAGGCCTATCATTGCACAACGAGATACTCGTAAATCAAAATGAATTACAGCCTAGGGTAGATAACTTGACATAAAATATATTTCATACAGATTATATCAATAGTTAGTGTGAGGTGTAGAGCGCACATCCTCCGAACTCCATCTATCAAAAAAAAAAAAAAAAAAATTCATGCCCAAAATACACTTAGGTCTATATTATGTTTTTCTTGTTTAGATTGAAGTATTTAAAGAGAAGAAGATTATTATGGTCTTCTGACAGATATTTTCATCAGATATGTTTAAAACAAGCAAAGAAGTAGTAAATTTTTTCTACAAATTTATTTCCTCTAACCTTTCAACAAGGTTCGTGTATAATGCATGGCAGCCCCAAATGATAAAAATGACAATGCTGAAAAAAGACAAGCTAAAGTGCATACAAGGTTGTGTGCTTTTAAGTGATTGATCCATAATGACAATATGAATTTATGTATATTTTGCTGGAAGCAGTTTTTTTATATCATTTATTGAATAATAATTCAGTGAATCATGTCATTCAAAACTGTAAAACTGATTTTATGAAAATTAATCATTGTGTATTAAATTTTACAACCTTTAAGTTTATATTCATCTTGTAGTATGATCTAGAATAAATGAAATGATTCAGAGATTCTACTCTGTAGGGCCATCTCTAAAGCTCCGTCCATGATTTTAGACAAAAACATGTGACATGCCTAAATATGGTCATGATGACATCACACCATGACCATACACGGTATACAGTAGGCACATCATGACTATATATGGATATACAATAGTTTGATAATAATATGTTAGATTTATATAGCGCTTAACGCCAACAAGGCCTCCAAGTTTAATCTTTAGAGTTGCATTTAAAGATAGACTACTACCTAATATAAACTTATGAATTACCTATCATTTATATGTAACCGAAACTCAAAAATATAATGAGAAGAGGAGCTAAGAATTACCAATTTGTAACTTTAGAATTGTTATTGAAAATTTTGCTCAGTATAATCTTTCATGAAATCAGGAATGAAACTCTTATGGTTTTATTATTAATAGATGTTTAAAAGCAAGGAGGCCTTGTTAAAATTAAATATTTCTCAAGTTTATCAAATATATTCTTCTTGTCTACATTCTACTTACAAAGGGAGTGTAATGTATCTTTTTGAATGGAGATGAATTAATTAGGCCTAATCTACAATACTTATGCCTAGCCATAAGGAAGGGTACACAGATAGACAGATACGGAAGTGTTTGACAGAATAGTTGCATAGTTAAGATAGGCATGAATTCATAACACAGCTTAAAGTTGCAATTGTGAGTTTCATAGAATATTTTCAAAGTGGCAGCAATCATCCTTACAAAATGCAAATTTCCTGATCATTCTTCGCCATGATAGGCAAACAAGGCAACATGTACCGTAGTAATTGCATAGTGAAGGTTGCAGTTATCACATAATTGTCACTTTAATCCAATACTTTTCCTGATAATATGGAAATTATCATTGGTACGCCACACTAAATGTTTCAATACATGACGGTCATGATAATTTTCGTTCATGAATCGTGATGGAGAGAATATATTTTGATGAGCAGAATGATCGATGACAGGAGTCTTAATTAAGGAGAATCCTAACGAGTAAATGTTTCTAATGTCAACAAATTTAAAAGCTATCTCAAAGGAATGATGTATCACTTGAAAAACACAATGAAACAACAGCAAAAAATAATACATAATGAATTAGGGGGATTTATCCCATAACCATTAATGCCCTACAACCAAGTCTATATGAAGCTTGGGAAGTAAAGTTATTTGTGGGTATGAGAGAAATAATATAAATATTACTAGGATAAAACCCATGACCTGATTTAGAAAGCAATCTGTTTATTCATTAAGGTCAGGGATATAGATGCTGGGAGAGGTAAAGAAGATGGGAAGGAGGAGAAGGTTATTATTTTAGCTGATCTAGGCCAGGGCACTGGCCAATAGGCTTTAAACTGGCAAGATGGCCCTTGATCATGAAACAAAATTATATAGTGAAATGGTTTCTTAATTTCAACTTGCTTCAAACAGGCCTGAATTTGAAGGGGAATAAACCCCAACATTATTTCCAGACTCCTATCAATTAAAGTGTTTACAAATTCTTAAATAATATGGTATAAACAAATCAAATCACATGGTTTTCATTAGAATTAGGCTGATAGAATTAATTTGTCCAAGAAAATTGAGTGGCTCCCTTGACAATGGGACATGTGGTGTTACATTACAACAAGTGTTTTGGTAATTGTACAAATTGGCTACCATTATTCATTTCAATAGTCCATAATTTACAGACTCTGTTCATTGTTTTGTTTTAAATATTACAGTAATGGGCTCTGACATCTGTATGAACAATAGGTGCAAATATGATTTTGCAATGTAATGGTTTGTCCACACTATAATGTTTTACGTAAGAAATGTGTGTAATTTGTCCACAAATGATTTTTTACCACATCCATATATGGGCAAATCTCAAGTAGTTGTTAAATAAAAATAGTACCACCACTGTTTGAAGCAGGGGAAGACTGGGGGTACAGGGGTTTAATCCCCCTCCTGTGCCATAACTACCAAGAGAGCACCACCTAACTACTGCATGTTATAATCAAAGTGTAATGAACATTTTATTTGGTAAAACTATTTTCTAAAGGAGCATTTGAGGTAATCACAATGTCACCATTACTTAGATTTGTGAATAAATTTAGTTATTTCCTTCAATCTAATTCATTTATTTGTTTTCTTACAGCATGCGATTGCCACCCTGTTGGATCTTCGGGTGAAATATGTAACCAAACCACCGGTCAGTGTCCATGCAAAGACGGAGTGACGGGACTAACTTGTAATAGATGTATGAAAGGTTACCACCAGAGCAACTCCCCTATTGCACCGTGCATCAGTAAGTGTCCACCCAATCACATTAACTCATTATGTTAAGGAAAAGAGTTTTTATTTTGCTTTGGAAAGATGCTAAATAAAATTGATTGATTGATTGACAAATGTTGAAATAATAATTTTTTATGGAATGAAATATGACGAAAACATTGATATTAGCTAAATCTATCCTTCTACTCTTGATATTTCAAGAAAATATGGCACTTGTTTTTCCCTTTTCATTTTAATGCTAAATTTGACAAAAAAATATTTTTATGATTTAAGTTTTCCTTTATGGTATTTTTTTTGTGTTTTTATTTCATTTTCGTCTGCCTTTCACCTTCAACACAAACAGGGACACTTATAGGTAAACATTTCTCGATTGATTCTTAATTCAGATAATAATCTCTAATTATAGTATCCTGTTTTTTGTTTGTGTTTTGTTGTCAAGTCATAATTAATCCACTTAATAATTCTCATCATGTGATCAACCAAATGTTCATTCATTTTCATCCCAATTAAGAATGTATTTTAAGTTAGTAATGATATTTTAAAAGAATAACACAACTGATCATTAATAAAAATCAAAAAACAACTATTTATATTTTGATCAATATGATTATGATAGTTTTAATGACGACCAAAATAGTGATTTTAGCTAATAGAAAAACAATGATTAATAGCATTGAATATATATAGTAGCAGTATTATCTGGTAAATTTATTATGGTACCTACCTATTATATCATGACATTATAGAATGATGAGCAATTTATTAACTTTAACCAGTTTGTTTACAGATTTATGTTCAATTTAGTGAAGAATATATAGATAGATACATGTTTCTTCAAAGATAAACCAAAAATTTTATATATTGGTCTTGTCTTTGAAGAAATATGAACTATGACTTATTGATCAGTTGAAATATTTGTGTTTTCTTAATTTCTTAGCTGCCATCTTTAATGAGAATGGTTAAGTAGTTTAATATAATTGCATGTGTGTTGGAACTATAAATAAAATAGTTAATTAAAAATTAATTAATTAATATCTTCATTTTGAGGTACAGGAACCGAGGTCCGAGAGGAGAAAGGATTTGGATGTTCCTTGTTGGGATCCAGGGGGAATCTTAGCTATATGTCACAATTGGGTAGATCTTTGGCAGCTGCTGGGGATGGGAGAGGGCAAGGACCTTTATTCTGACACCATGTGATTGTGCATGAGTACTGTATAACATAGTATTGCTGTTCCTAACACAAATAGAAATACAACTACTAAACATTAAAAATAGAAAAATATATCACTCATCATTAAAACCATTGAACATTAAGACAATTACAAATATTTACAACTGATCTTCATATATTTTAACTGATATTTCTCTATCAGTCATTGATACTACAACATGTAACCCTTTTCTCTAGATTCTAAATATAAAAAAAAAATCATGATTATTTCTCAAAATACCTCCTCATTCCTACCACATATGAAAACATATTTTTCTAGAGCCTTTAAAGTTCCACCAATTTCACACTCAGTACAGAAGTGGATCTTAACCGTATTAATATAATATACTATTTTTTTTTATGTACCTAAAAGAAAAATGTTTTAAACCTACAGAAATATATGAATTGAAAATGTTTCAACCATGATATTTTTGATATTTCTACAGAGCCTGTATCTACTCCACCGCAAACACCACCGGATAGTGAAGGCACAGGAGGTAAGAAAAACAAACAAATATTTGTACAGGTTGAAGATTCTTAAAAATGTTGGATTTTTTTTTTAAATCAGTGTGAAGCTAAATTTCTATTATGTTATACAAATTGTTTCACTTTTATCAAAATAATTAAATTATATAAACTTGAATTTATACTATAAAGAAATGGAATTATTTTGAGAAGGAAACAAAGACACAATAAACTATTTCACAACTTAAGTGCATGATATACAGTAGGCCTATTTGAATAACAGTAGGACTAAAAAGAAATCATTTTGAAGGTGATCAGGCCATCATGGCAGTGGTGTCTAGGTGTCTTGAAATGGGAGGGGGCTGATAGGGGCTGCAAAGGTAAAGTTTGGGCTGGCTCAATGTTTAGGTGAGTGAGTGCTAGCACACAAAATAAGGTTATTTTTACCTAATTGAGCATTGCTTTATACATTTTCAATGGGGGTGACCACTGCATCATAGATGTGAGAACTTTATGTTCTTCATTAAACATTTGTTCACATGTGTTAAATCAACATGAGCCTTCTATTTCCTATATTAATGAGTAATCCGACCTCAATTAAAGAAGGTGACAAAAGTCATTTTTTTTTAGTATGACTTAAAGCAACCTAAATCATTTCCGAGAAGCGGAAATGCATTTGTAATTATCAAATGAGTCCTTAAATGCCTTGAAAAAACAACTGATACAATTTTCCTGGTTTATGAGGTATTGACTTGGGGTATGATTGTATTTACAATAAAAACAGAACTCTAAAACAACGTCCTTGATCGGAGGGGACAGCCTAGGGGTACACTGCACAAAGTTCCATAAAGCATCGCCATACTTTAATACGTCACTATAAAAATACAATGACTTTGTTAACTCCCCAGCAAAAAATGAGTCTGAAATAATAGTAGGCCATGGTATAAATTCTTATTTAATTTACATAAAACTACAGTTGTTCTAATTTGAATGTGAACACAACCCATGGCTACAACACGCAATGCCAATTCCACTACACAGGGGCAGCAATGGTTCTAAAATTCATGTCAAGGCTAAAGATTGATAAAAGACGTCATCGTTATTTATCCCATAATGTGACCATACCTGCACATCATGCAAGGCATATTTTGACAGCGTTGCATCAAGCGGGAGTATCATGTTACACACGTGTTTCAATACAGGTTTAAAAACGTCAAAATTCATTGATTTTTCGCTCATGTTTTATGTTTTAAAGCAAGACAATTTTTTTGTACAGATCCCATTTCCCGCAACAGAATTTATTCAGGTTATGATACAAGTTATCCACTTTCATAGGATCTGATTAAGTCTACTGAGACTTGTGGGTGACACGTATGAATTTTGAAATTATAAAATTAAAAATTATCTAAAATTCTCAATTAAAATTAAACTAATTATAAATCCATGAGCTAGATATGTTTTCTTGATTTTAAATTTAAAGTTACTTCAAGTATGGAGGTAGCTTCAAAAGGCCTTTGATAAAGTCATACATTTGACTGCTAATCAACTTGGGATAAGGAATCATTATTATTTGAAGATGAGTGAGGCCCTAAATCTATCTGATATTTCCAATTTGTTTTTCTTTAACATTAAACCCAAGGGTACTTTTAAATCATTCTTCAAACCAGGCTCTCATCTCTGGACTGCCTAGAAACCCAAGAACATCATACACAGGCTGACAGCCTAAAAAGTTCAAAATACACAGGTTGGATCATAAATCTTTAGAAAAACACTGTACTGTACCTCCTCCTATAATTGAACTGTACTTGCCATAAAGATTACCCCTAATGATTTCTTATGGAAATAATTAACTAGCACTAAATCTAGAATGATATCTTTGGCATACTTTAACTTGACACTACCAGGATAGCAAAGCGGATTTATTATGACTGAAACTGGATGCTCAGTAAAAAGTCTTTAACTACGATTTTTAAAGGATATGCAGTTCCATTTACAAATAAACACAAGATTGCAAATTAGTCCTGTGATAAGTAGAGCCTGACAGTAAAGAAGGTAGTAATACAGTGGGCTAGTCTAGAGGGGCATCACCACACAGGTTGTTGAATAATTTGTCATCATTGACATTAAAAATTGGATTACCCAATTTTATATGGTTATATTTTCTTGAAATTGAAATGAGGGTGGTCCACCTTGATCTGAAATTGGAAGACAAGCTTATGTGGATCAGTGCATGGTTTTGTAGTAGCTTGGAGTTGAGATGCTTGGCTTAGTTTACAAGTCCAGGATCCTAGGTTCAAACCCTGTCACGGCAGGGTTTTTTTTTTTTCATGACTAAATCAACCTCCACTCCCCGAGCTTTAGAGAATCATTTTATCATGTAATTGGCAAGTTGCTTGCTGTTGCACGGGAAAGAAAAAAAAGATAAAAGTTTTTACGTTCTTAATTCAATACTTTAATGTATTTTATTAATGTTGAGAACAAATTATGTGTATAATATTTCTTCCATGAGCTCAAATAACAGAACTTAAAAGCTATGTTATATTAATGTAGATGATTTCTGAAAGGTTATTATCATAGTGTTTTAATAATAGGCTTACCTCTAGGTAAGGCTCCTTCTGTGAGGGCGCCATAAGTACCTTCTTACAATACTATAAGACCTCTGACACGGGAGGTGTGTAGGGCTTGATGAACTAGGCCATGATCTTGGATAGGCTTTGTAAACTGGAACAAGACTGGTTTCTGATGGGCTTAACTTGGCCTAGATTCTCAGAAATAGGCCTACAGCTGTACTGTAGATGTGATTATTGATTAGTAGCATAGTCTGGTTGCAATACCTAGCTCTATCCTGATATTAAGATAGAGTCAAGATAGGGTTAATCTGTATCATCGCCATCATCACATATAGCACTAGATTAGCTTATCAGCAACAGATTAAAACAGGTTATTTATGGGAATTTGGGTTATACTTCAAAAGGAAGTGAGCAACACATGCATATTTTTTGGTATTGTTGTGAATACATGAGTAGGAGTAGATCCCATAGGAATCACCCACTGTTGAGATAACTAAAAATGTCAAACTTTGTATTTAGCAGGGTAACAATAACCTCAAACTAGATATTAACAAAGGTCTATTATAATAGGGCCTAAACATATACTGTACACAATTGCACAAAACAGATTATTTTTTCTGAAAATATTTCATTTTTTTTAAATGGTCCCATTTCAATTCAAAAAGAATTTTCAATTTACCAGACACAATATTGGTCTACGGACAATTATATAATAGATAGATAATAGCTAGGTAATAGATTCACATTTATAATAGATTAAAAAAATCAGATGCCAGAAAGAATATGAAATATGTGAAAGTTTGAGCAGCTAAGGTATGATTCAAATATTAAAAGGTGTTGCTGTCGATAAAGTCAATTATGACCACCCTTATTTACTACAAATCAAAAAGTGACCTGACTGAAAAATACCACTTGACAGTTGTTTTTCTCCCTAAGGACATCAGATCTAGGATTCCAGGGGAAGGAGGAAAGGGGTGTGTACTGTAGTAGCAGTCTGCAGCCTCAATATCTATTAATAATATTTTCAATTTCATGACTAAAGTTTTGTAAGGAAATTAAATGGCAGTTAAAAAACTAGGGACATATCAAGATGCCTCACATGCAGCACCAGTGCTTTATGATCATCAAGTTCTTGAGACCTGTTTTCCCAGGGAAGCAAAAATATGGAGTTGTAAACTGAAGTGATTTGTTACTTAATTACAACGATTGCTTGGTTTCAGTTATGCTGTTGATTTATTGTGTGATTGTAACAGAGAATATGAACTCCCTTCAAAATTTCCAAATGAGAGAAGTATGGCACCAGTTAGGAAAGGGTGTCACTTCTTAGCAGTCACAATAGTGAGGTTGATTAGCATATATTAATTTCAGATGTCCTCATATCATGCATATTCATCAAGTGTTTCAATTTTTTGGCAAATCAGGGAGCTCCTATCTTGGAAAACTTTGGGTTGGGGTAATATTAGGTGTAGAAATTTATGTTACAGTTGGCCTGATCAATTACCAAATCGGTCCACTGAGGGCGCTACATAAAGTAAATAAAAATTTATACCACTACTCACGAGGAAAGCATGACTTATACTAGGGTATTACATTTATTTAAAAAAAGTATATAGTGAATTAATATTGTAAAACATGGTGGCTATAATAACATGAAATTCTAACCACACTTTTTTCCACCTGTTTCCCCAGTTTTTAAATATTAAAAAAATCTGTATCTCATTAACCATTCCCCAGTTTTTCGTCAAACAACTTTTTTCTGTCTTACAAAAATCAGTTCTACAACACATAAAAAAAATTGTTTCCTCTGGAGCCTGACTTTAAACATTGAAATCTTTTGACTGATTTTGGATAATCACTGCAACTTTGTTCATATTATGGTATTATAATAATCATAAATATCAAATATCGAAATGATTAAAATGCTTTGTTTCATATGCCAAGTAGGTTGGGAGATTAACAACGGAATGTTACTTTCCAAACAACGAATTCTCTTTCATCATCAATTACAGAAAAAGCTATGACCTACTTTTATATTACTATATAGTGAACTTGTAGACTGTGATAGGCCAATAAAATGACCAGTAGGATACACTAACAGGATATATGAAGAATGAAAGAAAGTGTCACCAGTTATACATTCATCAGCTTTCAGCAGCCAGTTTAGGATTAAAGAGAATGAAACAAATAGGAAAATATACATTTTTGTCCTACTCTCCCTAATCATTTTGGCCACCTCCATATTTTCTTTTTTTTTTGTTTTGGTTTGTAAAACACTTGTAAAATACATCCTGTTAAAATATAACAATTCTTAAGGTCATTGTGTATTTATATGTGCTTTATATAGCATTCCTAAAGACTGTTTGGCAATCTTTGTGAAGAAAACAGCAGGCCTCAACTTTCTCTTTAAGAAAACATAAAGAGAACAGGTTTCTTATGTGGAATTAATTCACACACTCAACCCACACAACTCAGCACTGCCCACACCATCAGGATTCATGTTTCAAATCTGTGATTTGGCAAACATGGGTGTGATATGATATCATCATACCCATTATGAGTTATATAGCTTAGTTACATTTCTAGAGCGATGACTAAAAAGAGCATTCACTTTAAATTTATATTTACAGTATGATTCAACATTTCCCATAAAAGTAGACCTAATAACTGAAGATACCTTTAAAACTTAGAACTCACGTTTTGATGGCTACAATTTTTGCCTTTCTAAACCCGGACTTTTCAAAACTCTTAACAGCTGTAAGGATATGCTACACAATTCCACAATTCTATAATAACATTTAAAAAAAAATGGCTTGAATAACAATTGTAAGGTTGTTATTATTATGTTCGAAGGTTGTAAACTAATGTTTTGATTACATTTCACAAAGTTGATGCTTATTAAAGATATTGCTTATAATTTCATTAGAAAAAAGTTAAGAAACTGCCAAAGTCAAATATCCCTGTCTCCTTCGCAGTAAACACTTGAAAAGAAAGCAATGCACTGCTGTGAAAGATATCAACTTGTTGTGTCAATTGTAAACGCTTTGATTCAACAAGATTCAGGAAACGCTTATTAACACCACAGACTACCTTCTGCTAGTTTTGTCAACTGGCTATCCACAGTGAGAATGAAAGATCCATTCTACAAATTGTAAAACACAACAACCTTGGTAAATAGAACTAGGGTGAGAACAAATTATTCGTGCACGTTGATTAAACATTTATTAAATTAGGATGAAAATCACAGAAACTCATTGAAGACTCTGCTGCAGCAGTAGCGTTGTCGGCTTTCAATTAGAAGATACAAAATTTGAGCAGGGGTGGCTCCAGAATGTTGCTGACATGGGGCCAAAAGGCCCAACAGGGGTCCAACCAAGGGTGAAGGGAGAGGAGGACCCTTTTCGAGGAGGCCAGGAGCCAGCTCTCTAGAGGAGAGCTGGCTTCCTGTCGGAAAACTCAACACATTTTTTGGGGCGAGACTAACAAACTATAACAATTCCCTGATAGAAAGAACTAAGCTCCACTCAAAATTTTCCATTTACCATCATTTTAATTCACAAACTGTCCTGTTCTATAAAGATTACTCATTTTTGTGTGGCTTTATGTTAACATCTTCGACAACAATAATCTGTGGTGACATCCTGATAAAACACACAGTCATTATAGGTGCTAATTTATCTGTCATTTCCAATCTAATGCAGTGGAACCAGATAAGGAAAGGGTGGCAGAGGTCTGTCACAAGATGTGTTTTATCGTCCCAGATGTTATTTCTGGTTGTTTAAAATTGCTCTATAGCCCGCAAACAAGTCGGATTTATTTTGAGTGATTTATTTCTGTATTGCAATTTGATTGCTTAATCTCAGCATTAATGTCTAATATAAATTAAATTGGATTGTACAAAATCTATTCTTGCAGCATGATTTTTTTATACCTTTTTTTCCAGAGACTGAATAAATTAAAATAAGAAAAATATCATAAAGATACATACTATTGGATAAGAAAATTGTTCATATAGAAGACATATATCACAGTTATATTGGGCAGGCCCTCAAGTGGTGTTTATCCCAACTTAACATTCCAGTGGGATTAAACCCTCATTTGTACCCCTGCTAGATGGGAGATAAAATCAGGGAAGCTTTCTGGACAAGGCTATCTAGTCCTCCTACCACAAAATTAATACCTTTTCTCACCTTCTAGTCAAATTGATAGACCAATGATTGCATGTACTCATTTGAACTGACCTATAGGTACTGTATGGGTGAATCTAAGTTCAAATAATTTCTAGGTGCAGAAATACCTTAAGTATACCAAATAGGTAATTTTTTTATGGGTACTTATATGTAAAGTTCAACCAAGTACTGGTATATGAAAATGAATTACAAACAACACCTTTAAAACATTTATGTTAAAACAATTTTTAGGTGCAGAAATAACTTAAGTATTTACAAATAGGTAATTTTTTATGAGTACCTTATGTAAAGTTCAACCAAGGAATTTAAACACTTTGTTATATTTAAGTATGTCAAAATGAATTACAAACAACATCTTTGAAATGTTTATTAAAACAATTTTTAGGTGCAGAAATAACTTAAGTATTTACAACATCTTTAAAATGTTTATTGTTAAACTTTTTAGTTATGAAAAATGTTACGGTATGTTATGAAAAAGTCTGAATCATACACAGATGTATTTATGGATATACAGTATATATAATAATTAAATGCTTTGTTTTTCAGGTCCATGTCCAAATTGTAAGGATTCAAGCAGATCAATAACTCAAAGAAAATATTGCAAGAAAGAGTTTGGTAAGTTTCCAATTATTCTCATTAAATCTGTCATTCATTATTTATTTACTGACATCTTTAATTATGGTAAATCTCTGTATCAATGCAAGTTAATAATATCATCAATAATACATTAGGCTAGTTAAAATACATAGTATTAAAATGTTTGATTATCAGATATTTTGAATGGGCCCTATGAAAACATTTATCAGTTAAACATTTCAAATATCCGCAGAATGATTTATGATGCATGTTTTCATATGGAATTGACTACATGATTGAACATAATTCTCATGAATCAATATCATTGTCTAAATTATCTAGTCTACAGTGGGAATACAGCTATGGTCTTGTATCTGGCTAATGAACCAATTTAGTGGAAAATTGACAACTTCTTTGGGACAATAAAAGTACTAATAATCATGAAGTTTAACAATATGTTGTCACTTGGTTTATTAAATTAGTTAGATTTGCCTTGAGTGGGTTTGTTGACTTGTAATTAGTAATTTCTTCCATTCCAATTAATGCAATACCACATGCTGTAAACATCAGAATCTGTACTATTGTCAGAACTTTGGAGCATGTTTGAAGTGGTCAGGCCTGCTTATCCAGACAAGTTCAATAACAAAAGCTTTATCATATCAATTGATTTTCCTTTATCTTTGATTTAAAGACTTTTCCATGTAGTTTGTATTTGTATTAAGTGTAGGTTAGTTGAACCAAGGAGGTTAATTTTTTTTAACACACCGCATTTGAGGGTGTGTGATACAAAGGCATACGTTCGAATGAATGAAATAAATGAATAAATAAATTATAATAAAAGTCTTGCATATGATTGGCAAGCTCAATGATAAGGATAAGATATGAAAATCGATTTTGAAATATCACTGAAGTTACAAACAATTACTGCAGGCTTAATAAAATACATTAAAATACTTCTCATCCCCTCTCCCTTAAAAAAAAAAATTAATATCAAGTGTAAAAAAGTGATGCATTGATAAAAAAATTGAGTAATATATTTAAGGTTTGTCATTGAATTACAACATTACCATATGACTTGCATTTCAGACAGATATCTGTTTGTGGTTAAATTTTAACTTTAAATGTGTAGGTCTATATATAGAAGTTTATTTCTGAATTCAAAATTTTTTACCAAGATCAACCCTCTTCCTGCAATGATAAACCAAACCACTTAATACATTGAAAACAAAATCTTACAACTGAAAACTAACATTAAACACAGAACCTATTACAGGGTCTATGCTAATAAAACTTACTAGGCTTAGGGAAAACAACATCTTTTTATGTAGATTTTTTTACATTGTGAAATTTTGAGAATATATAATACTTGACAAAAATCTCATAAGAGCACTAACTGAAAAGTTCAATAACACGCACACACATATTGAATTTTGCGACAAAGTTGAAAAGAAAACACAGATAGTGAAGAGTAGAAGCACCGGTGCTATGCAATCAGCTCAATGTTATGGCTTATTTGAGCAGGGATTACCCGCATTTACAAGGAGATTAGAAGTGGCGAAAAGACAATTTACTTTTCTATCACCTGAAGAAGATCCAAGAGAATCGGAAAACACAAAGATTATACAGGTGTTGCTGTCAATATTCAGTGCTTTTGTTCTTAACAGTTAACACTTTGTCTATTTTTGTCTATTAGACAGGTGTTCTGGGAGGATTGCCCTCCAAAAAAGAAAAATTACAGCAGGTATTGTCCACAAGATGGGGTTGAATCATCCAGATGGGAAAAGTGTGGGACACAAAAGATAGCATTCAATAGAATGAAAGGCTATCATGCTTTTATTGTGACATATTTACTGACATTAATAAGAGGCATGCTAAGCAAATTGTGGGAATCTGGTTAAGTTAGCGGATAAAGTCACTTGGGCTAGGCATCTCCACGCTATGGTCTGAATAATCTATGTACTATTATTAGTGTGAATTCAAGAAAAAATTCCAGAAAAAAATGTACAGTGTTAGCCGTGTTTACAAAAAACTTTAACTGCCCCATTATTTATTAAGATTGAGTTGATATTATTGTGTGTTTTTGTAACTTGGACAATTGAGGTCCGCCTTGTTTGAGAGTCAAAGAAATTAACAAGCAAATTGTTATAAAGCGATATCCTTTTGATGATTTAGCGTTCTATTGAGAGTCAACAATTGAAATTCCGCGGCCAATAGACAGTTTTTATCAGTAATCAGATACCACATTGAAAAACAGGGAAAAATTCAATAAATATAATGGCAACACAATAGAGAGGTGCATGAGAGTAATTAGACTATTAAGCGGCAGTAATTGAAAGATTAAGGTTTATTGTAATGTAATCCTTTGGGAATTTTGTGCTATTCAAATCACAAAATCAAAGATTTTGAAAAACAAAATTATAAAATTAAACTTTATAATTTTTACAGTAACCCGGCCCTACTTACTGTACTTTGGGATGCCTCTATTAAGGGACACTTCTATTAAGAGTATATACCTATTAAGGGGACAAATTGGCTACAAATTGACTGAAAATATATCCTTTAGCACTCCAGCTGATCCCTATTTAGGGGGACACTTTTGTCCCAAAGGTGCACCTCCCCACCTTCCTTAATATAAGGGTTCAACTGTACTTTACAAAGGTGGGCAGCATAATCTTATTCATTTACCTCATCAGGTCACTCAACTTTTTCTAAACCTGCCCCTTTTCCTTAGCACCAAACCAAACATTCTCTCACCATTCTGTCTCGCAGACTTTTTTTAAAAAAAAGTTTATCTACTAAATCTAAACAGGGGCATACACTAAACAAAACTAAATGCCTATCTCCATACTAATATCTAAATACCTTAATAATAATGTTTGCTTGCAAAATAAATAAGGAAATACCAATGTAGCCATTTACACTGTAGGTAGGGTCACCATATTTCTTTATGCTGAAAACATGAGATTTTTATTGATGGTTGAAATAAGTAAACATTTGAATAATATTGGTCAAAAAAGTGATTTATTACTTTAAGCAATTTCAGAAAAAAACTGAATGTCAAATAAACTTAATTTTTTAAACATTTTAGATGCACAATCCTATTAAATTCCCTTTTAAATCATCGCATATCATCCATAAATTTTACCCAAGTTTAAAGTCAACAGTAGAAAATGTGGGCACATTCCAATTTGACAAGAATTTAAAATAAATCTAACTTTTATGACATTGCTAAAATATGTAGGCCTTAGTTTACTGCAGGTGATTTTGTTACCATTTGCAAACACACTGTACAAATCAAAGGTGTCAGGTTCCAAATAGCAGATATCTATATTTGCTACATTTGCTCTTTACTTGCACTCAAATATGAAACATGTTTGCCTAAATGTAAAATATAATTTATTCAGGTCTTTGTTTTGTTTTTAAGAATGAGGCCCCTTCCCATTGCTCTCTCTTTCTCTCCCCTTTTACATATGGCCATGACACATACTCACATAGCAGGCCTGATCTCTATGGAGGACTGACATAACTCACACTAACAAAAATATATAAAACAAAAAGAAACAGGGAACAACAAAAACATAATGTTTGTGGGACAACAAGTTGGTAATTACTAGCCCTGTTATTATTGGTCAGTTAAGTTTAACACTACAGAAAGGTTCACTCATTAAGAAAAAAAAAACTTAATATTTTCTAAATATGGCAATCATTTTTCTTTCTTCTATTTTATCTTGCAGCTATTCAAGCCCACATCTTGTCACGAGAAAATATGGGAGAATGGGTAAAATTTACAATCAACGTAATGACAATCTTCAAAAAGGGACAAACACGAATGAGGCGTGGTGATTTAGCTCTGTATGTGAGCAAGAAGAATTTAGCGTGCAAGTGCCCAAAGATGCGCCTCAACAGATACTATCTCATACTCGGTAATACAAACAACAAAGAAACTAGACTGGTTATTGATGAAAAAAGCGTTGTTATTCCATGGCAAGACGACTGGAGCAGACGAATTCGGAAATATCAAAGAAAGGAACGACGAAGTGAATGTTAGGAAGATAGAAAGTATAATAGCGGGAAAATGGAAAAAAAAACTAAAAGATCAAAATCATTACATGATATTTGTTCTTATATTTGTGAGTGATCCAGTTCGGGAATTCTGATGTAATGTGTTAGACACAATTTTGTCGAAGTTTGAACCTATCTGTATATAGGATTAGGTATGCCAAATACAAAATAGAGAACAAGCTTGTGTAATAAACTATCTCCCAGCAACTGTAAGCTGCCACTTTTTGTAAATTTTCCAAATCCTTATTTGGAAAGAAGTCCATTTTCGCGGAAAAGAACATTTTCGTTGGACTCTGACCACCTTGATGACGTATGCGCATATAATTCAAAGCAAAAGACATTGTAGAACTAAAGAAATATTAGTATGGCATTAGCTAAATAAAGTGGAATAAGTTGAGTCAGATGTGACATAGTGGTCATTTCTTTCTTTAAGGACAGCTTTTAGCCAAATACGTAGAAAGAAAAGGATGTGTGTGATAACATTGTTTTTTTTATTGAAGAAAATTTTGAGGGTAATGTTATTACAATTATTAATTTAACTTTACACACTGGAACGTATGCTGATGGTGGGTATCTAAAGATGACACAAAAGTATCCACCCTTTATATATATATAATATATTATGAAAATGAATTTTGTTTTTAAAAAAAACGGTGAATTCCAACTCTATCTTAATTTCTGTAAATTAATGAATAATTTATCTAAAGGTAAAAACATACAAATATTAACGGGTGATTGAATGACATATAAATATGTATACGTTGCAGTGATTTTACACGAGAAGTTGCAGTGTTGTTTGGAGATGGGAAACTTGAACAGTGTAAACTCAAGTGAGGTGATGAATATTGGTTGGCAGGATGTATAAATTATTGATGCCCTTTGTAAGTTAAATATATGGTATGAAAAAAAGCATCAATTTATTAAGATTTATTTTCAAGACCGTTTTAAGGTTGATCAAAATACAAATACGAAAGTATTGTTTGAATTTGCAGTGAGATATTACTAGCGTAGTGAATATCAATTTTTTTGTATCTATACATTGCTTATAATACTATTAATAATAATAACGATAATAATGTTAAGTTGTAAGTATTTTGTATGTAAAATTTTGAGTACTTGTAGATTCTACTGCTTCAATGCATTAGTGCTGACTTGACGCAGACAAGATTGCCTGCACCTATGTTAAATATAGTTATAAAAAATTTAGTGAATTGCTTAAATTATATAGACTTTATATATACAACTTATATAACTTCAAAACTGAGCACACTTCAAAGCGAGTACATTTTTAGAAGTTATATATTAAAGTGTTTTTTATTCTTAATTCCCACCAATTAAAGACGTAACATTCTGTGATATCTTTACAAAATCTTAACTGACAGGGAGGGGTAAACGACTGGGTGTGGGGAGGGGTAATTTCATTACTATGTTAAATAAATTTCTATAGTGAAGAAAACAGAAAAGTAAACAGGGCTGCAAGCTGCAGACAAATCGTTCAATTCAAGAAAATTACCTTTTGCGAAATTCAGCATGTTTTTTTTTCACAGAATAATTATTTTGATTCATAATAATTATAAAAATTACATATAAAGATGAATATTTTTTTAATTGGAAGGGAAAATTTATAAGTTTACATTTACCATTTTCTTCAAAATTCAAATCATGTTGAAGAAACTATATAGTAGGCTTATGTAAGTCCTTTTCATAGTAAGTATCTGATTCTATAACCTAACAAAGATTGAGGACTGACATTGGAAAATGAAATGTTGAAAGGAGATAAATAAAACAACAAAGGGACTCCCTTTCCGATGAAATAGCGAAAATCATTATTGAAACCTTCCTGAGTGGAAACGACTTTTGGCTAAATATGACGTATATCAAAATTAATATGTCATTTGCGTCTATCCACCCCTCCCTACATATTTCAGGTTATCAATTATAATAAATGGTTTAATACATAAGTGATGAGCTGTATGAAACACCTGTTCTCAATGAGACTGTTTAATAATACAACTGTGACAATCCTATGCTGGAAATGCAACATGTCACTGCAGTGAGCCTCAGGTATATGTATTATGCAGATGTTATTCAGAAACTTGTATAAACTTATGTGAAAAATGGGTGTAATATCACATCATTATGCCATAATTGGGCACGACACAAATTGGTCATATACAATTGTTGACAGAGCTTAAAACTACCTGAATCTCATTTTCATGTCATTGAACTCAGAATTACAAAAAAAAAAAAAGGATTTATATAAATGATTAAATTATGAATACATGATACATGAAGACCTTGATGTTTGCAAGGTATTTATTTATATTTATTCTCAATTCATAAGTGTCCAAAAAAGAGTAATGGAACATATATCGTTGTGTTTAAAAAGGGTTTCAGTATTTATATTTAATCTCATTTACATTTTCTCAGCAATGAAAATCATTGTATAAATATTATCAGTCCGTTCTTAATGATGTCAGTATTAAGATATTTAAAATGAATAAATTCAGCACTACAAAAAAAAGTGTTATTTAAGCTATTATTATTTATGTCATTAACTTCTCTATTATTGAATAACTAAACAAAATTTCTCAATTGGAGCTTCTAAATTTATAGTAAATATGCAATAAAAAACTATTATGTTATGTTAACCGGGTACTCACTGTATCGTCATACAAAGGTCGTACGATGGTCATACAAAGGTCGTACGACGGTCATAAAAAGGTTGTACGACGGTCATACAAAGGTCGTAGTACGAATTGAACTTCGCTCCCTGTGAACATCAAATTATGCCATACATTTCTCTAAAGCTTTGTCCACACTATCAAATTTTCTTCAACAAAAAACTGTTGTATGCCTATATTTAGTCATGATGTGCCCATATATGGTCATGCTGTGATGTCAACATGACCATATTTAGGCATGTCACATGTTATTGTCAAAGAAAATTTGATAGTCTGGACAGGGCCTGAAGTTTGTGGTATTAAAACATTCGGCTGTTTATTATGATGAGCAAATCATACCAGCATGTCTCAAAATACCGTTACGACTCAACTGAGCTAAACTGCCCGAGCTTTCTTGTCTCGGAGGGCTCTAGAACCTAATCTGCTATGAAGTACCCGTTTACATAGAGTTATCCCCATGTTGCACAGTGGAGATCATCAAAAACAGATAAGGTTTTCAAAAGAAAATAACAGAGCTATTATGGATAAATATAATGGATAAACAGATCAACATAATGGATAAAATCCATTGCAACACTTTCCATAGTTAATAATAATAATAGTTGTATAGTGCATCATGAAAGGAAGTCTCTATGCACTTGGTATGTTCTTCTTGTTGTTAGTCAATCTTAAAACAAGTTATGATAACGGAATTTTGTTGTTAGGCTCTAACAGGTAAAACTTCATTATATAGATGTTAGAATCAAAATAACTCTTTCGTCTTTACCATACACGAAATAAGAATATGAAAAATAAGCTGCTGAATAAATACAACATAACGTATTTCAAAACCCACTGGCTATGTAAGAGAAAGGCATGAAAAAGTACAATTCAGAAAGGGTCATTAGAAATATTATGTTGACCTACAGAAATTGTTAACTCGAAAGCAGAATAAAAAGTCAAAAACAACTGTGTACTAAAAACAAACTTTAGGTTGAACAAATAATGGTTGTGCAGAAAAACTATCATGCAAATACAAAAATAAAACTTAAAACAACTTTTCAAATATAATACTGTACTAATAAAAATTTTCATACCAGTGTTTTACTTTAACCTAATGCCGTCCTACTTGATAATATGAAGACTTAGCCATTCTGTAAGGAAATTATTATATTGTATATAAAAATATTAATTAATATCTGTAATCTATTTTTGAAATATCAATGGCAGCGCCAGATATTCTCCAACAATGGGCCCAAGGTCCTCAACGAAAGGTTAAAGACCCCGACAGGGGTGCACACCAGCTCAGCCTCACCAAGGATGGAATACATTTTATGTATAGGCGCCTCTAGATGCCCCGGAAATAAAAATGTGGTTTTTTTTTTCCAAACCAGAGTTTCCTAACAAAATAATTGGCTTCTTCCTGGACGGGGGTCCAGGGCCCCCAGATCCCCGGCAGGCACTGCCAATGGAGAAAACATTAAATTTTCTCTTTACCAAAATAATATTAAATGCAACTGGGTATGATAAGTCAAACGGACATCATCGCCAGTGGGTGGTGGACGGTAATTTGGGAGGATACATAGCAAACCAACTCATAAAACTAGGCCAGACAACAGGAAACACACTAATGCAATGGTAAAGTTCAAAACGATATTGGCTTCTTAACGCAAGGCTAATTCAACACGATCCTAAGGAAAGGTTAATCAGACGCGATCTTAGCGCAAGGCTAATTATACGCGATCTTAACATAAGGTTAATTCAACGCAAGGCTAATTAAACGAGATCTTAACGCAAGGTTAATAAATAGAATTTGAATTGCGATCTTTTCGCAATGCCAATTCAATCCACGATAGGAATCATTTTTTCGCAGTTATCTACCCTAGAAATTAAGAAATAGTGGGGGAGTGATGTGTATAGCACAAGTAGAGTGATATATACAGCTGGTTGTGATTCTCCAAGGAATAACAAGAAGTACAAAATTATGAATTTTCTTCACAGAATGATGATTAACCAGAATTAAAATGCGAGGAATTATATATGGTTATGTTTTATAAAGATATACTCCCATATAAATGAAATAAACATGACTAGTGTATTACACACAAACATCGAAGTATATTTCAATATTTTATTAGATTCCAAATGAAAATTAGAGTGGAGAAAAATTTCACCAATTAACAGATATTTAAAAAATACCATCCTTATAACGTTTGGATAAATCCCTTAATTCCCAACACCCAATTTAACGATTTTCACATACTGTAGTGAAACATGTGTAAATCATTAAAAAAAACTCTTTTGAAATGTTTTAATATTTAAAATTGATGGATATTTTTTAAAGTTTCTTTTATAGCTTCATTTGAATTATTGAGGGGTTTTCTTCCTGTTTTCTGTTTTGACTGACAGTATAATTTCAATGCAATGCTGTTGTCTATATTTTTTTTCTCATGAATTGCAGAAAAAATGCACAGGTGGTCTTGAAGTCAGAGTGATTCTGAACACGTCAGGTGCTTGTAGCTTTGACACTGTTAATTATCACAAAAATCATAGGGTTCATTGTACATGCAAATAACTTACAGAAAAAAAAAATCACTGAAGGGGCTGGCTCGATTGTAATTTGAATGCAAGGGAATCAAGACTGGAAGGAACTATTCTCCAAGCTTTTACCGCTAATGAAGTACAGTAACGTTAAGAAAGGGAAAGGGGAGAATAGGACTAGAACTCAAGTTGGCTACTCTGCAAAATAACTGGTCTGCTCTGTTGGTACTGTATTATAAAAACTTAGATATTTGGGGGGGGGGGGAATCTTTCAAAACATTAGAGCTGGTTTGTTTATTATTCTTTGGGAGGTTTTTTATAAAATATTAAATTTAGTAAATCCGTAATAAGTATTTTTGTATTAAGGAATAAAGGCCTGTTTACACTATGACGATAACAATCAACGATACAAAGCTAAAAACAATTGTTCCTATAAAAAATAAAAGGAATACGAGAAGTTGAACAATAGCAGGATTCAATAATGATTTATCGTGTACAAAGACAAAATATTTGCACACATCAAATCAAATGTCATAATCATGGTAAACAAATTTATCGTTTTCATATGAATATGAGGTCATTTGATTTGATTTGTGAAATTATTTTCACAAATACATGATAAATCTCAGTAATTATTATTTCTAGGCCTTAAGCTTCTGCACTTTGATCAGAGCCCATGAAGGCCACCTGGCCACATTCATGAGCTCGCCTCACTTGCCATAGGCAAGCTATCAATCAAAACATGCAGCAGCTACCTTAATAATGGTACAAAGAAGTCAATATTGATCAATACAAAAAATCGAACATAATGAATACTTTTATATTCAAATAGTAATAAAACATTTTTATTTTAGTAGAAAGCTAATTTTATAATATGAAATTTTTCAACTTTGGCATAGAGATACCGTACACCTCCATTGTTGGAAATTAAAGATATATTTATTAAATTATTTAGTAAGTCATTATCTTTTAATAAAAAATTAGAACATATACTATTTTTAATAATTAACAGACACATAAAGTGCTGTATAAACTGTCCAAACTATGTATAAAAGTCATTGACAGGGAAGAGTGAGTAATACTTGATGAGTAATTTACAGTAATCACTCAAATTGTATTGAATATCTTAACTCAAAAGAGTGGGACTACTTCACTTCACTTATGAACTCTATAAACAGTGGCGTATCTACGAGTCTTGAAATAGGGCGGGGACTGATGGGGGACCAGTGGAGTAGCAAGGGAGGGCATGGGGGTGGGGAGGTGAGTGCATTCTCCCATTCGCCGCCCCCCCCCCAAAAAAAAATCACGGTCAAGTAGTTAAAAATCACCTAAAATCACCATATTTTGCGAATTAGCGCCCCTCAACTGATCATCGCGCCCGCCCACTTCACCTTCGCACCCCCACCCCATCAGCTCCCCAATTCAAGACTTCTAGATACACCACTGTGGGGGGACGTGAAGGTGAATTGGGGGGGGCGAAATGAGGGGGAGCAAGCTTGCAAAAAAGGTGATATGAGGTGATTTTCAAAAAAAATTTTTACCCCCACACACACCTAGACATGTCACTGCTCTATAATATACATCTATCTCAATTTGCAGAAGAGTTTATTTGTCAGTGGTCTGGCTGTTCCCTGCCAAGTGCTCCTATACACATAATTAATATGCACCCAATGTTCTAAATCACATATATCATTAATACCCTTTATGATTTATTCTTACTTTTTCTTCTTCTACAAAAAGAATGCTATTATCTGAAGCAAATACTGATTATGGACAGCTGGAAACAACGATGGCTCTATTCCGGGTCGGGTACAATCCCATGATCTCTTTTTAATGATGAGAACTTTTATGGAATATAAGATAAAATCACAAGACACATTAACTACATTACCAAGAGGTAATAGAATCCATTACTCTTTCTGTTTGATCAATCATTTCTCTGGGAAACAAAACTGTATTTATATATATGAATTTTAATGTGGCAGCACTGACCCTAAAACTGACCTACCTAGAATGTATCACAGTATAGGCTACACATGTCAAATAGTAACTTAACATATTCAAGAATTCATCCATTTTTCCTTTAAAAAAGTAAACATCCTATGGTCTTTGATTGGCCACATTGTAATAGGCATTATAATCACACAATCTGTTTTCTTTGTGAAACATTATCTAAATACCTTGGACAATACTGGGTTCACAAAAAATACATGACCTTGACTTGTTATATCTTCAATTAGGCAAGATATCATCCACTTGACAAGCTAATTGACATCCACAATTAGTTATGACATCATCCCCTTGACCTGTGACATCATCAATTAGGTGTGATATCATCCTCTTGAAAATACTAAATGATAACACCAATTAGTTATGATGTCATCCCCTTGAACTATGTTATTACCAAATTAGATATGACATCATCAATTGACTTGTGATAACATCAGTTAGTTTCAATTAGTTACAACATTAAATTATTACATTATTACCATTATTTATGACATCATTCTAAGACATTATGACATCATCATCATCATCATTTTAACTACAATGAATCATACAATTTATACTGATGATGTGTATACTGTACTATAGTAAAGTTACCACGTATTGAAATGTACAATTCTGCTTTACTACAAACCATCCACAATGGTATTAGAATGCTTCATTAAAAGAGACAGTTCAATTGCGTAGCTGACACATGCTATTATGATATAAAACAAAAACTTTTAAGTTATCACTCTAAATTTCTTTACAGGATACAAACAAGTCAGCTTTAAAAAATGAAAGCTAGTCAAAAATAATAAAAGTATAGTAAAAAGATTTGTATATTTCTTGTATCCATTCCAAAGAAATGCTTGAGGTGCTTAAAAGAAAAGGGAAAACAGAATCCATTTGGATCAATCGAAAAAAAAAGAATATGAACAGAAACAGAGATGAGGATGTTGATGAGGACTGGATTCGCATTGGCATACTATGTTAATTAACTGGTGAAGTAACATAAATAAAAATGAAAAAAATAAAAATGTAAAAAATAAAACAATGTAAAAAGTAAAATAAAAATTTGCAAATTAAACTTGAGGAGAGAACGTATGAGAAAGTAAATTATTAATGGTATTAGAATACACAAATAATATACATCAAAAGAAATGAAATTAAAGATAGCAAACACAGACACACATGACCTTGTACATAGTTGCAAAATCTTTAACAAGATGAAGGCGGCAATTTAACGGAAGAACATTGAAGAAGCAAACGCAAAATGTTCTTATAACGTTAGCAAACGCTGTGATTTGGTATGTCACAAAATGATGTTGCAGAAATGTTGTGACGTGAAATTAGTACTTACTTATGGCTCTACAAAATAATGTTTTTACATCTAACTGTAACATTCTTATAACATAATATTGTTAGCATGGAATATCAACATTCCAGATTTTAAAATTGTTCAAAAGCGCAGATATCCAAGGTCATGTGATCGTCATCAAACAGAAGCAGTGACCAAGTGTAAGAGTATTGTAGAATTGTTGTTAATCCAAGAAATCGCATAATTGCATTGAGATCGACAGATTGAGTCAAACAGTACATGCTTTGTCAAAATCGTTTAAGCTCTGAAACATTATAATTAGGCAACATTTGACAGTGTTTTGAAATGCACAAGAAGGTTTCCTATTGACTATACTAATACATGAAATATTTCTGAAAGAATTCAGAAAATATGAATTTTAAGAATAAAAAATGAATTATGTTTTGATGTGAGTTTGCATCAGCAAAGTACCATATGAATTATAACAAGCATTTTTTATACAAAAAAATATTTATTCAGGATATCATGTTCAATGTAAAAAAAGTAAAATATGTTCTTTTTAAATAATGTCTTGAATATTTACAAACACTGGATACAAGTTGGTGAAAGAAAAAACAATTAATTCAGATGTGGTTCTGCAAAGTCAAACTTAATAGCTTTAAATAAATGGTTTAAAAGATCTGCTGTTTATAATTAATTTTGAAAGCAGTTATATGTTGTAATACTTGTAACTCGGAGGCAAGATCTTCTTGTCTAAATTGCTGGGTTGGTGCAATAACCTCATTTAAAAAGTGACTTTTAAGGAACCCACCCCAGTTGTTAGTCTAATAAACTCGACATAGCCAATATGTAATACGCTCCAAGAGGAAGTAAATTCAATAAACAATGAAACTTTACAAACAAAAATGGCTGCTTACAGAAGATTTATATTAAGTTAATGAGACACAAAACAAATTAGGCCATCATCAAACTGATTTGTGGAGAGATAATTACTGAACATAACTCAAGAGAAAAAAAAAATGTATAGGTCGTATTTTAAGACAAATAATACTGCTACAAGAGTGAAGAATAATACTGTATGTAAGCTAAAAATAGGGATGAAGATGTAAGATCATGTTGATGTAAGAACATGTCTGATAGTTTGATTAATGTAGGAGAATCATGTAAGTTATTGGACCTTAGTGGAGTAACGACCCCATCCCATGGTCCATAGTTTGGTTATAGGGTAGGTATGCAGGTCATAGAACTTACTCTGTGTTCTCCAATTGACACATATTTACTGGTATATCTGCCCAAAAAATTCAGCTATGCGCGCAGTGTGAGGCGTTCTCTTTTGAGTGGGGTTTTATTGACTTAAAAAAAAACACATACAGTCATAGCCTAGGTATAGACTAGAATGATGTTCTATTATTGAAAGAAGGCCAGCCTAGACTAGCTAGGCCTAATCAGTGGTTTTCAATTTTACAAACACAAATATTTATCGGTTGACCAGCTATTTTTACCGGTAAAATTGACAGTTAAAACAGCTTGAGAGCAGCAAAATAAATTATATCATATCATATTAGCAAACTTGGTACCATACTCTGGTTGGTAATGCACACGTTCTCTCTGTCATCACAAATTAACATCGTCAATCAAATAAAAACAGACTCACTATTAAAATTTTAATATTTTTTTTATATTTCACAAGATTTATGCTCTACGATTTCTTTACTTTAACCACAGACACTATTTTATCTGTGCTATTAAATACAGCTGTCCCTAAATAATGGACAGCTTATCTATAAGGCATGGTTGATTTAACTTTTCTCGCATATATTTCTACACCTTTGCTTCTGCACAGAGTAATATAAACAGTTATATACATATTATATATATTTATGGCATAAAAAAATTTATGTACTGTTGGATTCTGAGTTTATTACATTGCAGACATAAATACTTTATGCAATATGCAATCTTATTTAATTTTTAAGATGATAGTTATCAATATATTTTACAGTGTATCTTAATCTAATGCACTGTATTTTTTCAATAATAATAATTCATTTAATTCTACTGAACACTGATGTGATTAGATATTAGATTACATCAATGTCACACATTACTTCATTTAAGGTTTAATCGTTTTTATTCTTTACAAATATTTTTTTAATGTAGGCCTATTTTGATACCAATTTAAATTCCCTAATCTCTCTAATTTTTACAATATTGATTATTATTTCTTGATTATCCAATTTATTTCACTTACTAATGACAGAACTGAAACAGACATAAATATTAGTGATGAACTCTTTAAGTTTTGTTTGCATATATTTAGAAATAGATGATGCAACCTAATATAATAAGTTTTGCTTGATTTTACTTTACTTTTACTTACTTTACAGTTTACTTTTTTATTTTGTTTATCTACAAAGTTAATAACAAAATAAAAGTGTTTAATTCACTATTTCATTTTTCAAGTTACATTTGCAATCACATAGTGGCATTACAATACATTTTAATTAAGATGCAACAACCACCTGTGATACATATTCAAAAACAATTTACAATATTTAGTAAATGCTTTAACAATAAAATATTGTAAAAAAAAAACAAGTAAAAATTTCCATAAGTATTAATTAATTTTGAATCTGCAATGAAATATTAAAACTAGGTTGGTCCTCCCTATCTTTATGATCAGCTGTGTATTGTTTTTAAAAATTCTTATAGGAAAAAGTCAAGAACTGACAAATTCCCATCTTTTACATTATGATTGAATTATAATGAATTTATTTAGAAATTATGCATTATATTTAAATGAATTTTTTTTCTTCTGCTTAATGTTCACCTACAACCAAGGAATAGACTACCTGTGCACTTTAATTTTCTGGAACATGGCCACCTGCAGTTCACATGGAAACACCACCTGAAAACTGCTCATCAGAAAAATGGCCACCTGCAAACTTTTCACTTGGAACAGCACCACCTGGAGCCTGGGTATTGTCCACCTGGGTACTGCTCACTATGTAGGAATTGCAATGATGACAACAATGGCGATTAGAAGTAAAACAATTACAACCAAGTATGCTGAAAAAGGAGGAAAAATTAGATAAATATTGGTAAGCATACCATAGTTATATATGAAATTTATTTATTAACTGCAAGTTCAAAAACATTAGTATTGCAATTAGAAATGATTATGTAGCATACTCTTAATCTCCATGTTATCCATCTTCTAAGGAGAAAGGTTCAAACAATTCTATTTACACTAATATAACTTTACTACAGAAAATCTTTAAATTTTTTTTTAGAAATGAGGGGGGAGGGGGGAGGGGGAAACCAAGAAACATTAGTTAAAAGAAATGAAAAAGTTGTGCATAGTGTATAGGATACAATGTTGATATGTAACCTAGTAAGGATGGTAGAATCGATATCGTGATTTATGAATGATGATGAAAATAGTACATGACAACAGTGTATTGTAATTTGTACCTTATTTTAATAAATGACCGTTGGGTCTAAAGAGAGAAAAAAAATCTTAAATCTAGCAATTTAAGGAGTCAAAGCAAAGCATACATAGGCAGAGTTTGAAGTCACCCACAAGTCATGGGAATTGCCCTGAATTTGGGATTTGGTAAACTAAGACATTTTGCACAAAATCATGACACTAAATACTTAGAATGTTATATTATCAATTGGTTAACTAATATCACCTAAAATAATGGAAAATAACATTTAACAATAAATTTGTTAGTAAGCTCATTTAACCAGATCTTTGGGAAGGTAAACTTCTTCCAATTTGGGACACCTAAAACCACAGTAATTGTGCATTTGTTATTCGGTGATGAAAATATTTTCTTGCAGGTAATTTTAATAAAACTTAAGCTAACAATTTATTTAAAGGTCTACATAAAGTGAGCAATTTGAATATAGAATTTCATTGTAAAGGCAGTATATCACATGAAATTTTTTTTTAATCCTAAAAACAATTTCCAAAACAATGAAATGAGTTATTAAAAAGACACAAAAACAACATTTAATAGGTTATTAAAGTTCAACGTAATATATTAGGCATGTGTAAATAAAGAAGTGTAAATTGCCATTGAACACACCATGTCAGGTGTCAATCATAAATCTTATATTGAATTGTAAACAGCAAAGACAAGCTAATCGGATGAGAAAACCAAACAACCTTTCCACATACAAAAATATTTAAGGCTTGCAGGTAAATTTAAAGCCGATCTATATACTTTATTATATTGACATGGACAAACCCAGTTTAGGACATTTATATTCATTCCTAAATGTATCATGCTTGGAATTCATCATACAAAGGGTTAAAGAAAACCAATGTAAAATAAAACTCTTAAACGCTATGAATTACTCCTTGTGTATTGTTTAACAAACTTTCGATAATAATGGTATTGACGAGTTTGTGTTCCCCTTATACTTGGACTACGTCCCACAAGGCTTTACAGGAGCTAGGCTGTAAAAAGTTGTGCTTTTATACATGTGATTGACGGATCAGTTGTTTTTTCTGTACTTCTCAAGTAGCCCAAGCAGCCGTCTATCAGCTGGTATGGGCGAGCTTGGGTGACACAAGAATCACACGCATCATCTTTCCTGTGGTGTTGTCTGTATCGTATCGCGTTGCCAGTAGATACAGCATGACACTATTAGTAATGTATTCAGATTTCCCCTTACATAATACATTCTATTTCAACTAGGCTGCAAGAGAAATTCACTACCCCAAAGGAATGTGTACAAAAACTACTGACGGGCACATTTTTGGTATTAGTAAGCAGTACATATTTTGATTGATTGACTGATTATTTGATCAATACATTTTTGATTGATTGATTGATGCATCAATTGATTGAATATTTCACTGACTGGATTAACATTCTGTATATTAAATAGTATTAGAATTAGTATTTTATTTCAGCTAAATTTGTTATTAGTTAAAACAAAATACCATTAGTAAAAGTATGTAGAGATTTTATAGGCCTATATACACAGTTATATATTTTTATTTATTTATTCGTTTGCAACATATTTATACAAGATATACATACTCAATGAAAACAGAATGTACAATACTTGAACTGACAAGGTACAGCAACATTGAAAAAAACTGCTAAAAATAAATCCTAATTAAACCTAATCAATCACATATGCACTCTGATAAAACTTTAAAAAGACAGACCATGAAAATGTAAGATGAATAAACTACCAGAAGTCTTTACGGAAAACAAACGAGCCCTTAAAATGTACTTAATATTCACATGTTCACCGAAGTCGGTCATTATTCTTGTTCAGAGTCATGCAAATTTGTGCCATGATTGCAAAAGGAATGGCGAAAAATCGTGCTGTAAATATTCCAAGTGGATATTGAATTTGTGTCTAATCTGTATTGTCAGCATGATTGATGTTTTTTACATGTGAAACATGCCGTCTTTGAGATATAATCACTTCTAATTATCGTTACCTCTACGTTTTCGCATCACCTTCTTACGCAGTTTTGATGAACTTCTGATCGTTGAACTTTGTATTTATTGGATGTTTCCGCAAAGCCACGCCCCTTGGATATTGTTGCTAAGGTCCCACAAAACGATAGTATTAAAACATACGCAAAAACGTGCGTTTTGTGGGACAACATGTGTTCTTGTTAGACATGCGCATATTCCTAACCCTGCTCCGATTGGTCTATTGTTAAGTTTGATTGACACTCCGGAAAGGTCCGTTGGGGGGATGGGAAACTAATAAATAATTCATATAAATAAAATGTGTATAATTTAAACAACTCTGGTTTGCATTATATTTGTTCATTTGATTGCATTACATTTGGTCAGTTGTCTAATAAGACAGATGTCACTTCATATTAAACTTAATTGTCATTCTGTTTCTCTCTTGTATTTCTTACTAGCGTTCTACTTCCTCTTAACTAACCAAATTAAAATATAAAGCTAACTAGTTTCTGTTATATATTGTTCTCTAGAAATATATTTAGAATAAAAATAATCAAAGTGTTCTACAAAAGCTTTTCTTGGTCTTACTGGCATTTCCTTTGAATCAGGTCAATGTCTTCAAAATACAATTATACTTATTGATTATCATAAGTATTAATATATATTACAAATTAAAAATTTGATCCTAAAAACATGAAAACTTAAAAGCCAAATTGGGATATGGGATGACATGACATGCTGTAAAAGTTGGGCATAAATTTAAGTACGGCGACTGGGTGTATTCCCGGTCAAAAACTATTTGCTGAATAAGATTTTATTAGTTAATAACCTGAGCAACACTCCCAAATTTGCAACATCATAAGTCAAAAAAATTATTATTATGACTAAGAGGTTTCAATATTGATGTTTTACACCAGATGTGATGAAGACTTTTTATAGTTTTGGATATAACTTTAATTTAAAATACTATTTCATAATAATCAATCTTTGGTCACAAAATAATAGAAACTATATGTTAGTTATGTAAAATTGTTTTTTGATGTTCCGAAAGGTTATTATTAGCTAACAGGAAAAACCAGTTGACAGAATAATATTTAAATTCTTTAAATTATAACTTCCGCAGCTAATTGCCAAGAACTTTTAGGTGACTTTGGCAGACTAGACACTTGATTGGTTAATTCAATTAAGAATAAATTATAATCCTGCTTCTAATTGGACTAGAGTTTCAGCTGCAAAAAACTCAACATTTTTATGTTCAGCACATGCTACGCCAGATGACGAATTTTAACGGTGCTTGTCCGATGCAATGGCATTAGCAGTCCGGTCTTAGCAGTGTGAGCATTCATTATTGCCATTGATAATGATCTGTTGTATTATTGCACAAAAAAGTTACAGATTATCTTTAAACAATAAGTAACTTGCAGTAAAAACAATTAACATAAAAAAAAATACAATTTATATTGAAATCTCTACTTACTACAATCTTTGGCCTTTTCCGAAATTTTCCGTATATGCTTAGTCTCCTTCACCAGGCGTTGATCCGTTTTTCCAATGTGTGTGTTTATATCATCAATAATCTCTGTAAAAAACAAAAAAAAAGTAAGGCCAACTTGTATCGTAAAGGAATAAAATTGCTTCCACGGACGTACTAAGAAATTTCTGAGAGCCAAGTGGATAATCCAGCACAAGGCTACCTAATATCTTAGCCTAAAGGTTTACACATGTAAGACAATAGTAGTTGGTCCGATCTATGTCAAATTGACCACTTAAAGATGACCACTAGTACTACTATACCACCAAAGTTGTAGAAATCTCAGCAGCAAGCCAGAAAGGGTTAAGAGAACAAAATCCTGCAAAGATTAAACAACTATATATCATACTAATTATTCAGACATTCACAAATTCCACAAATTATTTGAGAGAATACAAGATTTTAATCACATGCATGGTAGTAATTGCATTAGAATTGATACAAGCAAACTGAAGTTCTTTGATTCATAAAAATTTAACTAAAATGAATCAAGATTATCACTAATAACAAGTAATACTTTTGTTTATTGGTAAAAGAACACACAAAAAAAAGAAGAGGTTCGAGGAAGAACACCTCCACTGTCAATGCATATTTGTTTATTAATTAAACATTCAACAATGCTATGGATTGATTCTAACACTCGGTGTTTGGATTTATACAGTACGCAACTCAACCACGTAGTTACAGCTACAATTCAGCTTACAGTGATTCTGAATTAGGAATTTAACATTTATTTTCATTTATTTGTTTTGGCACAAACGTCCCAGGTACTGCATCATCAACATTGCGCCATCACACCAGAGGTGGTGCTCACAGTCCCTGAACACAATTCATAATTGACATAATTAATAAATATTAAGTTTTTTTTTTTAAAATATCAAATTAAATTCCATTCCTCATGGATATTAACTGACAAGAAGTTTGATGAATCGTGTGATGTTTACGAGTTGGTCTTGAAAAAACAACAGGTGAAATCGTTGAATGTTTTGACTAGTTAAAGGCCCAAGGGCTAGTAGATCACTGACCCGTTCGGCATGTACTGTAGATAAACATAGACCAGAAACTTAAAACATACAGGACAAAGAGTGGGAAGGACTGATGAAGGGGAAGATGAATGAGTGGAATGAATATAGAACGATGGTGATGGAAATATTAATACCTGGATTAATTAAAGGAGAAAACAAGATTAATAGTGAAGGAGATGGATGAGAGTGACTAAAGAATGAATTACAAAATAATGTGACTGGGATGGAAAAGAGTTGGCATGCAAAATTACATATTAACAGTACAAAATGCAAAATTACATATTTAATAACAGTACAATATGCAAAAAGTAGAATAAGGCCAGGTAACAAAATATCCTTGTTTACAGGCAAGGGGCAATTATAAGAGGCACTTATATAATATTTTGTTCACAGTTCGTCAAAATATGCCAAAGCATGTTCTCTGCATTATAAAATGTGTTGTAAACAATTTTTGTCATTGGTTCTCTTGCTGTTATCATGGTATTTGTGTTTAAAAATGCATCTGTAAACTACAAAATGTGTCGGCAACTGAAATTTTGCATTTTCGACATAAAAACCCAAAAGTTTTAAGAATAACAAGAAACAAAAAAATTGACGCGGGCCCAAAAAATGCTGAGGGAGGGGACAGGAAACAAAGAATTTTTGTTATTTGGCCTTAGTAATGAGATGGGAAAAGAAAAGAATGACAGAAAAGAGGACTGATGAACTAATGATAATGAAAATGAAAAGCTTTCTCTTATTCAGTTTCTCTGACTAGTGACCGTTTCTCGCAATCCTTTGGTCCTATTTTCTTGAATGGGATTCTCAAATACATTTTTTTTTCTCCTATAAGCCTTCCTTAAAGGCCTTTTACAAGTATCTTTTTTTCTTAGCAAATTCAATTTTGAAAAAGGGAAAACAGCGATGAAATGCGGAAATGGAAAAGTGTCATTTAAAGCGCTTATCAAACAACTCCTATCAAATACACTGTACATCAAGACCACAGAAACCATTCTTACTGAGGAGCCAGCTGTCACAATATTTAACATCCCTCCCCACAATTAAGTATTTACACTGTTCGATCCAGCACTAACTAGACACGCCTTGCACACAGTGGCGTCAAGGAACAACTGATCCATTGCCAGATAAAGAAAAGCAAAATTACTCATAACGTAAAGTGATGATGGAGGAGCTTTGCAAAAAAGAAATGCATGATAAAAAAAAAAAATTAGGCCAGGTAAAAAAAAAAAGTAGTTTCTCATCCTAATATTTTGAAAAAGTAGAATGGGGGAACTTTTTTCTTTTTACTCGGAGACGACAAATCAAGATGGCCGATGGGAAGGTAGCTACTACTTTCTCACTTATATCACACTGAAAGCGAATAAAAGAAGTACTAGATATGATTTATACCATATCTGAGTTAGCCAGATTTTTGTATATTTCGTACAATAAAGAAAAAAGTAAAAAAATTGTTGAGGAGTTATCAGCGGCGTCGCCAAGGGGGACTCCCCCCCCCCCCACCGAATGGGCTAATGAAGTTATTGACATTTCTACATGTCAATGACTACTCAATGGATGTTTAATTTATATTGTGTAGTTTTAGTTTACAGAACAGTAGGCTTATACATATTGGCAATCTCAGGCATTTATACAAACTCACAGTATTCTCTACAAACTTTTCTTGTTGCAACACAATGGCTAAAGTACAATCCCATTCCCGGTTATTCATGTTTCTAAAATTTACCTGTAATTCATATTAAGATACAAAATACAATAGTTTCATAATGGTTTAAAATGTTCTGTATAATGAATAAACTGCTATAAAACAATATGATGTTCATTTTGATTCTTTAATTCCATAGAAATTTCACTTGATTTATACATTATTATTTGAGAGCAAATGGTCAGCTCACAAGTTTTTTTGTCAAATATGCTTTTCATGTCTTAGAAAATCAGTTATACAACATAACAACAACAAAAAGCTTCGATCAGAACACTTGTACCCCCACATAATATCACGACCCACACTGCCCCCCCCCCCCCCCCAACACCCCATGTCTGATCGTGAATCCGGCTCAACAGCTGGCTAGGCCCTACGGGTAGACTGACTTCCCTCAGCTGGCCCACACCCTTGGGGTAAATGGTCCTATTGAGGCCAGTGCAGGCATAAGATCCTGGGGCTAGATGGTACACCTGGAACACGATGGGAAACTCAGAAAAGTATTTTTGAGTCAATGTATCAATCATACTAATAAGATTTGAATGAAATATAACGATAATTAATGCCTCCCTGTTGGTTTGCAACACTTAGACACCTATCACTTTCACATTGGTGAAAATACATCGATACGTTGACTGTCGATTTCTGCGCTACCGTTGGAAAAAGTGATTTTTATCCCTATCATTGGGGACACATTGAGGTAATGGTTGTTTCCTTTTCTACAATACAACTGACGCCAAATGTCTCCACAGATCTAATTTAACGATTACGTAGTTTCTTTTTATTTACTTACTACATGCTCTATTGAATATAATGACAATTTTAATATGTATCAATAAAGCCAGAATAAATTTATAATTTCATAAATTGTATCATTAAATAATTAAAATTAACAATCAAATTATTATAATATTAAGTGAAACAAAGATGATAAAATGATAATAGAGATGGGAGAATAATTGTTATGTAACAATAAAATGACAACAGCAAAAATAAAAATAAAACAATAATAATCAAAAATAGTTCTTTAATATAAATTCATCCTTATAAAAAAATATTAATAATCATTATTGCAACTATACTTTACACTAAAATTTGCGAATCTAAAAGCAATTTAAATACAGTCGCAAATGTGGAGATGTTTTTCATGAAAAAGTCCAAATATTATTAATTTTTTGATTTTGCCCATGATTCTGAGGTCTGAAGGTAAGCGCCTGAACTACTACGCCATAGCCCACTCATTATGACTATCAAAGTTCACATACTGAAGAATTTTTATTTTGGGACAATTTTCTGTGAAACTTTTAAGTATTTTGAAAATGACACACGGCAAAGAGGTGTAAAATATTTCAGAGACAGACGCGTCACCGGTAACGAGAATCTGCCGTATTGTTTGTGTTCATAGTATAGGTGATGAAAAATATCGCAGACCACCAAACATGCACGTGTCTCCCAGACCATGCCTACACACACTTACCTAAATAACAAGGTGACAAAAAACGAGATGTTGAGACTAGAGAAGGGGTAACCAAACCTGGAGAAGAAATAAATCCACTAACACGTGGGAATATCAGAATTTGTTTTCTTTCTGGCGTTTTTGCAACTGGACTCTATTTTTGAAATTGGAAGTTCAGTGTTTGTAGACTCTAGGCTACACATCCTATACAGGCAGTTTCAGTGTTTGTAGACTCTAGGCTACACATCCTATACAGGCAGTTTCCTGTCATTTTACCTGCCTGAAGCTGAATTATTCTAAAAAGAGGAATAGACCATTAATAGGCAGATGCACAACTTTCATGTACAGTAAAAACTAAATTTGTTATTTTAACAGCATCATGTTCACGTTTTCTTAATTTAATAATATTAATTATAGCCTATATGAAGAGTCTGTGCATTAAATAACAAGTTTTGTCATACTTTAAATAAGATGATAAACCAAGTATCATGTAGCCTATACCAGAACCTTTAGGACAAAGAACAAATACCACCGAAGAGTTCATAAAGTCAGTAATAAGTTGAAAGACCAGCCAGCTAAAAATTCATCATCAGGTTCATGATTATATCTTACAAGTTCCTCTTTAAAATATGACAATACGAATCTCATCAATAGTCTTGGAAAAACATATGGGGAGTAAACGTTAAATTCAATAAATCATAACTAAACCATTAAACTTTCAGTACACCATGTGTAAAAATATGGTTTTTGAGGTAAAACCCACTGGTTGGTTGTCTCTTTTTCATAACAGTACAATTCGTTCGATCTCAATACAGTTGACTTGTAGTACGATAGCCACTTTTCAATTTGAAAAAAAACTTTCAGTTTT